TATTCTCTGTATATCTTTGACCTGGAATAACTCTGTGGACCAGGCTGTCCTCGAACTCTCAGAGATTCGCCTGCCTCTACCTCCCAGGCATTGGGATTAAAGGTGTAAGCTACTACACCTTGAACTCACAGAGATCTGTTTGCCTCTGCCTTCTAGGCACTGGGATTAAAGGCGTGTGCTACCACACACAACAACTCTCTTCCTTTTTTTTACTTTAAGAACTTCAACTTTTAGTCTGCATATATTTTAACACACTTTAAACCATTCAGAAATTTTCTCTGTCTTTGAATCTCTCTTTACTGTATATCTCTCTTTTTCTGACCACACAAGCCTTTAAATTACTGAGCAATATGGGTAGGATTAAAGGTGTGGCTTTGCCAGCTAGAACCAGTCCATTCCTTAGCTTTCCAGCCTCATGGCTGAGGTACCGGCTGTAGGCATGTTTACTGCCACAACTCTATGGCATTTCAAGGTCCCTGCCAGCAAGTGAGCTTCAGCAGCCTGTGCTTGCAAACCGCATGAACCACCTGCGTGAAAGAGTCAGAGTTTACCCTGGCAGGACAGCCCAGAAATCTGGCATTTTTAAACAGCACAGCTTTTTTCCTGCTACGGCTAAAAACCGAAAAGCATGCATTCAGCTTTTCCTCAACACCATTTAAGTGTTTCGTAGCAGGACCTCTTAATGAGCTGCAGGCTTTGCAGCTAAAGCTGAGTCAGGAAGCCTCTCTCAGATGAGGCGCAAGCAGAGTAGATCCGAGAAATTGTCACCATCAAGAAAACATGCCCTACTCTTTCCCAAGCCCTTTCAGGCTTTCCGTGGATTCAGTTGTCCATTCAGTTGTTCAAGTGGGCGCCATTTGTAGCAATAAGGGCGGCGTGGCTGCATCCCCAGCACCCCAGCCGCCCGCACAGCTAGCTTATGCCCCAAAATAACAACACACAAACTGTATTCATTTAAACACTGCTTGGCCCTTTAGCTCTAGCCCTTACTGGCTAATTCTGATATCTTGATCAACCCATCTCTAATAATCTGTGAGAACCGGTCTTACCGGGAAGATTCTAGCCTTGTCCATCCTGGGTCGGAGCTTCATGGCGTGTGTCTGCCCGGGAGCGGGGCATGGCGTCTCTCTCAGGCGTCTGCTCCCAAGAAGAGAGCTGTGGAGTCTGAGCTCACTCCTCTTCCTCCCAGTGTTCTGTTCTGTTTACTCCACCCACCTAAGGGTGGGCCTATCAAATGGGCCTAGCAGTTTCTTTATTGCTTAACCAATGAAATCAACAGATTGATATATGACACTCCCACATCAGATGATGATATTGAACAGGAACTCAATGAGAATATGCAGTTGAGTGGATTTACAAAGGCAAATCTTTAATGTGATAAGCTAATAACTCCTAAAAATGGGTTCAGAATCCGTCTTAACCTATTGTTATTTCTATTGTTGTGAGGAGACACCGTGACCACGGCAACTCTTATAAAGAAGAACAGTCATTTTCAGTTTAGTGGTTCAGTTCATCAACATAACGGTGTGACAAGTTGGCATGCAGTCAAACATGCTAGAGAAGTAACTGAGAGTCCTGCATCTTGCAGTCAACAGAACTACTGCACATACATAAAACAAGAATTATATCATATTAACCTAGATATGTGGTTATTTTAAATTGGCATGAAATTAAGAATGGAAAATTAGAAGTATTATATTAAATACACACGAAGTGTAATCATTCTTCCTTGCAGATGACTTATGAACATATAAACTTTTCTTTAATATATTCATGTTTCATTAACTCTCTCATGTATGCACATAACTGCACATAATTAATCACAATGACATTTGACCTGATTAAATATAAAGAAAGTCATAGGTGGTGTTGCCATACTCTGCCTTATGTTTTGATAGTTCTTATGGTCTAATGTCTCTTTACCTGGTTTCCACACTGGGAAATCAAATGGCATTTAGCTATGCATTGTCTAATTTGTACAATACTAGATTTTAAGTTTTGAAATCTGATACAAATTATTGTCTAACCTCTAACATGTGTTTTGGAGATTTAAGGATATGAAACCAGATACTTTAGGTCCCAATACCAGGGTCCCCCAAAAGGACCTTCTGGGTAAGACTCTGGGAAACTGTAGCATGAGTAACAAGCTAAAAAGTGATAGGAAGCCAACTGTTTTGTTTTAGAAAAGTCAAAAATAAAACCAATTTTTAAATATTTTTTGCTTGAAAGAGAATAAAATGTATTTTTGTATACCAGGAACAAGATGTTCATTGTAAAAATAACTGCCTATTATAGGGAGCATTGTGTACTTCCCTTCTCTTTTACACATTGAATTTTATAACTGTTTTCTTTCTGAAGCAGGATTTTTTTCAAAAATCACAAAGAAACATTAATGATCAATGACATATTGCCCATCACAAAAAGTTCACACTGTTTATAATGTAACAATACAGGACACTGTTGTTGATTTATCATGACCTGGTTTCTCTGTAGCTTTGAAGCCAGTCCTGGAAGTAGCTCTTATAGACCAGGCTGACCCCAAACTCATAAAGATCCGCCTGCCTCTGCCTCCCAACTGATGGATTTAAGGTATGTGCCACCACCTCCCATCTACAATACAGCATTCTGATTGTCATGGTTGTCCTGGCACAACACTCTGGTTGTCCTCCTTGACCTGAATACCATAAAAAGACTTTGTCAGACTTAGGAAGTGTGTTGGTTATCATTTTCCTTTGTGTAATACTTCATTTTTTAGAAAATCATACATAGGTACTATATTTTCATCATTTACAGGCTCCTTTCTTCTTCCTTCACCTCCTGTTTTGTCCTCTACCATATCACCATCCGATTGAGCCCAATTTTGATGTTTATTATATACACATGTGTAGGGCTGAAAATGGAGTCTTGGATAATAGATCAGAGCGGTCATACTGGAGAAACATGGCCCTCCTTATCGTGACAGCCATTGTTTGTTCACAGTTTTCCCTATAGGAATAGGACTTTGTGAAATTTTCCCATCTATGATGACAGGTCAACTGATGCTGTTATTACGCAGGTCTTATTTAGGCAATCACACTGGTAAAATTTCATGGATGCAATATCCCTATAATAAATATAAAGCACCATCTTCTATCAGGCATCCTGGTCCCCTGGCTCTTACGTTCTTCTGTTACCTTTTCCAAAATATTTCCATAGCCTTTGATTTAGAAGCTGTGTTATTCTAAGTGTACTTATTGGCCTTGGGCATCCAATGATCATTTATTCTCATCCTTTTCCACCAACTGTGGATCTCTGCAATATTCTCCACTTGCTGCAATAAAAGATTTTTGATGAGTTGTGAGAGCTACAGTTACCTGTGATTATAAGGATAAAGCTAGTAATATAGTTAGAAATTTTACTTGTTTTGAAAAACAGCAGTAGGAGGCGCTACTTCTGGGGTCTGTGATTTCTCCAATCATGGACAGCTGACTCACTTTACAGTACCACGAATGAAAGTGAAGTTTTCCTGCACTGGATATTTTGATAACAGTCTATGATTCCTGAGACTAACAACATCACTACATTTGCGAAATCCTCTTCCAACCCCCTGGACCCATGCATATGCATGAGTATGCATGTACTAATAAGCAAGCCTATATAACAGTGTTTCCATACTGATTCCTCGAGTGACTTTGGTTCCATTTGCTATTTTGGAAAGAGGGTAATGGGAAAAAAAGAAGCAAGAAAGAAATAAATGGCACTAACATATGAACTCTTTAAGTTGATAAGTTAAAACAAACGTATGGTATTCTTAGACATTCAATTTCTTCCATCCACAATGTACTCTAATGTATTCAATTGAAAACCTCTTCTCATTGTTCTTGCATCGTCACAGGACACATCTGTCAATCATCCATCACTCAACTAATTCTTCTGTAAATCCTTTCATTACCTTTAAAAGAAAACAAAAGGAACAGCTCTCTCAGTTACACTACTTTGATCTTGGATGATTCTTGCTGTGAAGCTTTAAAACAATTTAAATAATTCAATTTAATATTTAATATTAAAAATACCCTGATGCTTTGATCACTTGATTACATATTTTTATCTATATTTAAGATCTCTAATTAGTATATTTTCTGTGTTTTTCTGATCCTAGGTCATCCAATAAATAAAGTCACATGTTAGTTTCCAGAATCTGCATGTGCAATCTTACAGACATTGATGACCTCAGGAATGGTGGTCATAGTGTTTCCTTAAAAGGAGGGAATGTAGATGCATGCACTCACATACTTTTTAGAGCCTTTGTGGACTAGATTCTGATAACAAGCTATTCAACTACTTCTTTGGCTTATGAAAGGCCTGTGGACAAGTAAGATGAACCAACTGACTGCCTTAGCAGATAATATCACTCAGCTTACTCTGTCAACTATGAGTCTAACAACTCAATTGCTAGTCTTCTATTTCCCTAGGGACATGTGTAGGAGGAGGCTCTTGTTTATCTGCTTCCCAGGGCTTCTGTCAGTAGAGTTCGTTAGGTGCACTAACAAGCTATTTAAGAAAAAATATGCATGTGAATACATTTATCACCATTCTTATAATAATATCTTAAAATGATAACAATAAAATACTTATAATCTATGCAAGTATTCATATTGGCTTCTTTCTTGAGAAGAAATTTCTGACTAACCTGTCACTAACCAATGTTCTTGCTCCCATTCAAATATTTAAGAAACAGCACAGTTATTCAAATAGGTCATGGAATCTTTTTTTCACCTTTTTTTTTTTTTGGTCATGGACTCTTGAATTTGCTTCATTACAAAACATCTGTCATTAAACACTGAGGTGCAAATATGAATAAATAATATTTGCTTTTACTATCTCCATTAGACAGAAGTTCAATGTGGTCATTTACTGCATTTGTTTTGATCGACTCCAGTTATATTTTAACTCAAGGCTTTTTCTTTTTAGATATAAGGGTAAGAGATGACACAGGACACACTGTGAACAGAAGACTTTGATGTCCCAAGATGACTGTGAAGTGGCTGTCTGTTCTGCTGCTCCTGCAGATAAGTTGCTATTTCAGATCTGTGAACTGTGGGAAGGTGTTGGTATGGCCATTGGAATATAGTCACTGGATGAATATGAAGACAATACTGGATGAACTTGTACAGAGGGGTCATGAAGTGACAGTTCTGAGACCTTCAGCTTCCATCTTTCTCGATCCCCAAAAATCACCTGGTCTGAAGTTTGAGAGTTTTTCTACGTCTATCAGTAAAGATGATCTGGACAAGGTTTTCACAATGCTTGTGGATGTGTGGACTTATGAGATACCAAGAGATTTGTGTTTATCATTCTCTCCTTTGCTACAAAACATGGTTAATGAATTCTCTGATAGCTATCTAAGGCTTTGCATGGACACAGTTTCAAACAAACAACTTATGACAAAACTACAGGGATCCAAGTTTGATGTCCTTTTCTCGGATGCCATTGCTCCCTGTGGAGAGTTGATAGCTGAACTTCTCCAGATCCCTTTTCTGTACAGTCTTCGCTTCTCTCCTGGCTATACAATGGAAAAGTACAGTGGGAAATTTTCATTCCCTCCCTCTTATGTACCTATAATTATGTCGGGACTAGGTGGTCAAATGACATTCATGGAGAGGGTAAAAAATATGATGTGCATGCTATATTTTGACTTTTGGTTCGAGACATATAATGAGAGGAAATGGAGTCAGTTTTACAGTGAAACGTTGGGTAAGTTATGATTCTTATCAGTAGCTCAGAGACCTAAGTTTCACAATTATTTAAAATCTATTGTCATGCCCATAAAATGCAAAGTAAACTTGCCTTTTATAGGTGATCAAATGTAATATGACATTAGCTAACAACTTCACTGTAAAGTCTCATACATCAAAGAGAAGCAGGTATCAGACCTGATACAGGACATTCTGGTGAGATACAGAGCTGCAAAGAGAAGCAAGTAGACTTTTCTTAAGTGGTTCTTACTTGTTTTGCTATAATTTTTAATCTGTTTTAATAAGTAACTAGCTAGTTAGCCAAATCATAATTAATGTATATTAAGGAATGAAATATTTTACAGTTTCAATATGTATAGAACATTAGAACAATATGTATAGAAATTATTTTCTCTTGCATAGGCAACTATCTTTACTTAAGACTAAACTTTGGGGTCTGAAAATATGACTAAAATTTTAAGAGTGTTTTTTTTTTCTGTTCATTTTGAGTATTTGAGTTCTTCACCTAGCACCAACCCAGGACCAGTGACTCAAAATTGCCTGTAACTTCTGCGTTTGAGGACCTGCTGCCCTTTTATGGTCTCTTCTAATTCCTGAATAAACTTAGTATATATTTACACAGACACACATATACATAAATAAAAATTTAAACTATAAAATATTTTCTCTGTAGTTCCTAAAGAATTCCTTTACTCTTAAAATATACTATGTTAGTTCACAGTTAGTTAAAAGTGAAACTGGGTTTCTACCAGTATCATATTCCTTTATTGTGTACTTTGCTAACATCTATTGTTTAAACATTATGGAAGCATGGATACACACGTACCTGGTCTGTATTTTTTGAAGTCTTCTTTTCCTTTTTTTAAAAATATTTCATAGGTAAGACTGGCCAAAATTTCTATTCTCATAATTTCTGAAAATACTGTAATTTTTTGTAAGAGAAGTACTATTAAATTTCTTTATATGAAACAAAGGTAGAAGCACTAACTAGAAATTCAGCCATTCATAAACTATACAGCCTGTTTAACAAAACAAGGATGAAGGACAAGCTACAAACTACAATGACCCTGAGGAACACTGGTCATGGTACACAGTGTGATATGACTTTTGGACCTGGAATGTGTGTTTATATTTGTTCTGTTCCTTTTAAAGATGTAGAGAGGAGTAAAATGTGTACTCATTAAATAGTGGCTTAGTGGGTTATTTAAATAAATGTTTGTTATTTCAAATTACTGTGGAAACATTAAGTAATTCCTACAGTTTGCTTTAAAAATAAACCCAACACTGACATTTATGTATATTATGTAAATCAATTACACTGTAAATTATGTTACATATGAAGAAACATTGGTTTTTAAAAGCACATGTTCCAAACATATATTCTTTTATCATTTTAAGGAAACATATTTTATATTCAAATGACAATCTTGTCAACTTTTCTCCTTCTCACTTGCTCATTTCTCCTTCTAGGAAGGCCCACTACCTTAACTGAGACAATAGGCAAAGCAGAAATGTGGCTCATTAGATCCTACTGGGATTTGGAGTTTCCTCGCCCAACCTTACCAAATGTTGACTATGTAGGAGGTCTCCACTGCAAACCTGCTAAACACTTGCCTAAGGTAAATACATTCTTTAGATCTCTTTTTCATTTGATTTCCTTTCTGGTGAACATGTTCTACAACTTTAATTATATTTTTCTCCCAGGGATGAAGATATATAAGAAGTGGACTTAAGCATCCTGCTAAAAAAGAGGTCAATTAACAAAGGAAAAATATGATAGACCTAGGAAATATTTATATCAGTGAATTAAATTAGGTTACCTAGGGTACTTAAGTGGTTAGCCATTGTGTAAAGTCCTTACCTAGCAACTATGAGGATGTAACTTTGAATCCTAACACCCAGAGAAAAATTTTTGTGTCCCAGCACAGTACAATGACATTGCACTGTGGTGGCAGAAACAGGTTGATACTGGGAGCTTGCTGACCACTAGTCTGTTTTAAAAAATGGTAAGATTTGTGCTTAGTGTGAGACAATCTCAAAACCAACGTTGAAGATTGGTAGAAGAAGACTTTAGATTTTAACTTTTAGCATCTGTGTGCTAAACAAAAGCAAGTAACCTCCCAGCACACCCAAAACACACACACACATAAGCATACACACGGGCACAGACACATAAGCACACAAGAACATACATGTTCACACACATATACACAAACACAAATGTGCACATAAGCAAACACACATATAAACACATGCACAAAAGACAGAGAAATTAAGTCAGTTAAACTCATCAATCATAAATTTCTCATCACCAAAAGCTATGATTAAATTATATTCAATATAAGTTATATAACAACTTATATTGTTGATATCCAAACAAACAGCATAGACATAGTTTCTCTCCAACCAGTAAATTTTGGATATCAGCTCTAAAAATACCCTATTCATACACAATATCAGAAAATTATTATATAGTATATATTTATCCTAAGTTATGATTATCCAAAACATTTTATTGATCATAGTAGGAAGTTTGTAAAAACTACCACATATGTACATACTATAACATAAATATTATTTCATCAAACACTAGTTAATAATATTAAATCAGCCATTAAGGAGAAAAATAAAATAGCAAGGGTAAAATACTACCCTTTCTGTAGGGAGAAAGCTTATAAATGAAGCGACAATTTTTGAATGCTTCATAGACACGCTTGCACTCCTGAGTTTTAATTTTGCCAGAGGAAAATATTTTGAATGTCTGTTGGACAATGTGTGAGTATAGTTTGTGTGGATGCCAGTGAAGTTCAAATTCTTTGATATTGCCATTCTTGTCTTCTGTATGTTTAAACACCACTATACTAATTATTCCTATAAACATTTCAATTTTTATCTCCTAGTTTTTTCACCATGGTTTCATAAGTGATTATTATACAACTATAATTTGTTATGAAATAAATTCTCTTCACAGGAAATGGAAGATTTTGTCCAGACCTCTGGAGAGCATGGTGTCGTGGTGTTTTCTCTGGGGTCAATGGTCAGGAACGTGTCAGAAGACAAAGCAAAGGAAATTGCATGGGCCCTTGCCCAGATTCCACAAAAGGTGAGGGAAAGCATTTCATGGGAGGTGACTATATACTAAGTTTGTGAACGTCCTTGAAAGATCTGATTATAGAAATGATTGTGTGAAAGGTAAAGTTTTAAGGAAGATCTAATTTCCCTTATTCAAATTTAGAAAATTATATTCACAGTAGATGCTTCAATACTGCAGAAGGTGTTTTGACTGAGAGTGACTTATATATAAACACTGTGATCACTGTGGGCACATTCTGAAATGCTGGCATGATGATGATTGCTTTATTACTATCAAGTGTATGTAGACATAGCCAAATTCTTCAGAGTCACTTGTTCTATTTGTTCATTACTTAAAGTCACTGCATACATTAGATTTTCAGGGCTGAGTTAATTTGTATTTAGTAGTTATATCAGAATAACAGTAAGCAGGTGTTGAAAAAGTTTGAAATGCAGCATGACTCATCATTCTAATTTTGGAGTAGGCTTGTTCAGTGTGCAGTTGAGAGGGCCAATTAAAGGAAGGAAGTCTGAGGCTCACCAACTGTCAATCAAAGTACATTTTTGGTTAATTGAGAGAAAAAGCAATAAAAGAAAAAAGTCTATTTTCTGGTTGGCTGTAGTATGAGAAGTAGCGGGCTGTGTCCCGGCTGCCGGGCTAGCTTATTCCCCAAAATAACCACACAGAAAATTGTATTAATTAAATTGCTGCCTCACCCATTAGCTTTAGCCTCTTTTTGGTTAACTCTCACATTTTACTTAACCCATTTCTATTAACCTATGTGTTACCACGAGGTTGTGGTTTACCAGCATGAGTCTAACCAACATCTGTCTTGGGCAGAAGCATGGCGTCTCTCCCTGCCTGCCTTCTTCTCCCAGAATTCTGTCCTGTCTACTCCACCCACCGAAGGGCTGCCCTATCAAAAGTCCAAGGCAGCTTCTTTATTCAACCAATGAAAGAAACACAAATAGAAAAGAACCTCCTACAACATTTCCCCTTTTTCTTTTTAATCAAAAAAAGGCTTTCACTTTAACATAGTAAAATCCCATATAACAAAACAGTTATTAAGCAAGAATTACAGTCACAATATTTATATGTATTTTTTCTTTAATCATAACTAAGAGAAACTCTACCTATCTATCTGTTCTTCAACTCTATCAAAGACTTCAGAAGGATATAATATAACCTATGTAAACTGGAAGTAAGCAACTTCCAAAACTCTAGAATTGACAGAGACATCCCGCTGCCTATACAGTCACCCAAAATTCTTCTGTACTGTTGGGGCATCCTCTTCAGCCTTCATGCCCATAGTATCCAGCAGACATTTTCATGAAGCAGGAAATTTCAAAGACAGTTCAGTCACTTTCTTTTGTATCTTGCAGAATGTCTCATAGACTCTTTCATGAAACGAAACCCTAAAGGATCATCTCACCTTTAGTCAAGTTCAGCAGTCCTCTCTGTGTGGGTTTTTGTGTCCAGTTTATGCAACAGTCCAGGCAAGAAACTGTTCTTGCCCACATGGCTAGCAAACTCCATAAGGAGCCTCTTCGATGCCCATCTTACTCTTGAAGTAGCTGGTGCTGCCAGGAGCAGATGTGTCTCATTGTTATGGAAAGTCCTAAGTTATTAAAACATTAAATGCCATATTCTTTAGTCTTTGAAAGATATGAAAAATGCCTATCTAACTGAAATATATCTCTATATATCTAGAAAATCTAACATGATTACAAGCTTGACTATTATTGATGATTATCTATTAACAACCTATATTTCCTAATTATACATTGCATTTTTAAATGATCTACACAATCACAATACCTTTATCAAGAGCAGGAATATACATATAACAAGATTGACCTTAAATTTATACCACTAAATCAAAATCCATAACAATGCAAATTATTCATCTCTCTATCATATCCCCCTATATATGTAAAAGAACATTTATAAACTATATGTGGGAATATAGATGTAGTTTTCTCTCTCTAAACTGTTTCGTGTTGTATGGGGGCACTGTTATTCAGGTCTTTCGTAGTATAGCCTGTGTGCTATGTTCATCTCAGTCGGCAGTTGAGTGAAGTAATTTTTTGAAAGTGTTCACAATGAACACCTTTCAGGAAGGCATCATACCATATTGGTCTAGTATCAATCCACAGTGTCTCATCTTCTGTGAAAACAAAAGAAGAACCTCTTTTCCAAAGCATCATATCCTTAGACCCAAATTCTGAAGTCATGATACCTTTAGAGCATATATGCTGGTTTAGCTTAGTCCATACAATGAAGAGTTTCTCTGTACTTAGCTCCTTTACAGTCAAAAGATTCAAAGAAAACACAATAATATACAGAATCCAGGCTCTCTGTGAATTTTCCATTTTTACATGGCTTACTTTTCTTTACTTCTTTTAATCTATGACTATCTGTACTCTGTCTCTTTAAAGACTTTACCTTTTTTATTTATTTATTTATTTATTAAAGATATCTGTCTCTTCCCCGCCACCGCCTCCCATTTCCCTCCCCCTCCCCCAACCAAGTCCCCCTCCCTCATCAGCCCAAAGAGCAATCAGGGTTCCCCGCCCTGTGGGAAGTCCAAGGACCACCCACCTCCATCCAGGTCTAGTAAGGTGCCATCCAAACTGCCTAGGCTCCCACAAAGCCAGTACATGCAGTAGGATCAAAACCCAGTGCCATTGTTTTTGAGTTCTCAGTAGTCCTCACTGTCTGCTATGTTCAGTGGGTCCAGTTTTATCCCAGGCTTTTTCAGACCCAGGCCAGATGGCCTTGGTGAGTTGCCAATAGAACATCCCCATTGTCTCAGTGTGTGGGTGCACCCCTCACGGTCCTGAGTTCCTTGCTCGTGCTCTCTCTCCTTCTGCTCCTGCTTTGGACCTTGAGATTTCTGTCCGGTGCTCCAATGTGGGTCTCTGTCACTGTCTCCTTTCATCGCCTGATGAAGGTTAATAATAATTGTGAATTTTGCATGCAAATGGATGGAAATAGAAAACACCATCCTGAGTGAGGTAAGCCAGACCCAAAAAGAGGAACATGGGATGTACTCACTCATATTTGGTTTCTAGCCATAAACAAAGGACACTGAGCCTATAATCAGTGATCCTAGAGAAGCTAAATAAGGAGAACCGAAAGAAAAACATATAGGCATCCTCCTGAAGACTTTACCCTTTTTTAGCATTAACTTTACTTTATGACTTTTTAATACTCTTTTTCTTCTCTTTCCCAAGCCTATGTATGTCTATCTAACACTATGACTCATTTAAAGGTCATTTATGTCTGAATCTGTCCTATTGTGAACCTGTAATTCTTTACTATGCAGGAGCACTTCTTAAAATGCTAAGCACCTTTTAAGAACTTAAGTTGCGCCATGTAGGGGTAATGCAGTACCAACAGTTTACTACACAGTCTAAACCTTAACTGTGCTGTTATTATCATAATTATGATAGTTCCTGCCTGAGATCAGCACAGTTCAGCATGTGCTTCTGAGCCATGTAGCCATTCTGCTAGCATGGTGGAGCTGTTTGTACCTCTGAGCCACATAGTGCCTCCCTTTCAGGCCAGTTGCCATCAAGCAAGCCGTAGTACTTTACTCACAAACCCCACTGAAAAGCTCTGTCTACTGCAGGAGCCAGACAGTAATCGTGATGATGGCACAACCCAGAAACTGGTATTTCAAAACCACCACTTTCTAGTAGACCTGATCCTGCTGCCTACCCAAGCAGGAAGATCTGAGCCACAGGCATGGTCTCAGCTACTTTGTTCCCAACCCCGAGTGGGTACACAAACATCCAAGCCCATGATGCCCCATAGCTGGAGTTTGCACTGGCAGCAGGGCCCAGGAAGCCTTGATTTAAAATGGCAGAGCTTTTTTTTTTTCCCCGCTACAGCCAAATCATGAAAATTTCTCTTAAAGGAGTTGTGATACTCAGCCAGCAAACAGCAAAAAGCTATGTTAAACTCTCTCTGTGTCCTTTTTAAGCCCTCTCAGGTTTTTAAGTGGATTTAGTCCATCGCATTCGAGTGCCAATCTGTAGTATGAGAAGCAGCGGGCTGTGTCCCGGCCGCTTGGCTAGCTTACTCCCCGAAATAACCATATGGAAAATTGTGTTAATTAAATTGCTGCCTGGCCCACTAGCTCTAGCCTCTTCTTGGATAACTCTCACAGTTGGCCTGCCAGTATTTGTAGGAGAAATATCTAAGGGAAAGTTAAAGACGGGTGCTTCCCTCACAGTGATGTCTGAATCATAAAAGATGAAACTCACAACTCTGTTCTTAACCAGTCAGAATAAAAGTCCTACCAGTCAAGGAAGATATAGGAAAATAAGAAAGGAACCAAAGGAACATAAGGTAAAAAATAAAGTTACAGATCAGTCACTTCATAAAGTATACTGCAAAGTAATTTTCTATGGATTAAATTTGAATGTTTATGAATGTTTTTAAGTTTTGTAGTGGAACAGCCTCTCTTTAATTACCTACATTTATTTGTTGATGTCATCCTGTAGTTGATTTTATCAGCCACATAGCAAATTCATGTTAACTGTGAGGCTAATGCTTGATTTTATGAGATCTGTCTGAGAATTTCAACATTAGCACCTATGGTAGGCTTCAGTTTGAGACTGGTTTTTCTGTCACAGAGCATCCATGAATATTTGGAGTTCTTGAGGGATCCTTTTCAGAGGCACTGAGTAGAAATGATAAGAAAGGGCTAATTTAGAGAAGACTGATGTAGGGGGATGAATATGACAACAGGATACTATATGACCTCTCAAAGAAGTGAAGACAAAAAGAGATGTCAGTTTCACTTTCTGTGGTCATAGTCATCATTTAGGTGGCAGGTGGACTCCCAGTGTGCAGGCATGTTCTTAGCCTATTGGTCTGCATAAATAACTTTACAAAGAACAAAAGTTTTTTTTTTTTGGTGGGGGGGAGAATGTGATACAGCTGGTGGAATGTTTTATTTTAAAACCTAAACTGTCCCTGCTCCAGGAGTACTGAGACCTGGGAGAATGGGACTGAAAATG